GAAATATTGTAACTGTAAACGTAAAGCGCTACTTCCGCGCACTGTTTTCAGATCAAAGGATGAGAAAACCATCTTTTGACACTAATAAAAATTCCATTACAGGTGTATAAAAGAAACGGCCATCCTCAACCTGGGCACTCGCTCGACTTTGTGAAGCGACGCGTCGTCTCGTCAGGCCGATGTCTGTACTTCTTGATACCTTGATCACTTTTTTTGCACTGCTTCATATTTGTGATTGTTCAAGCGTTCAGTTCGTACGGCTTAACGAAGAAGTCCTGCATGGAGACCTAAGATCGCTACCCTTGTCCATCGCAGGGCTTCAAAGCAATTTCTGATAGGCGTTTTTTGACAGCACTGACCGCGTTATAACCCAGCTTGGGCATCTTGAGTCTTCATGTCTATTTCTAATAAAGGAACCAGACCAATTACAATAACACATACTTTCTAATAAAGTATGTGTTATTGTAATTGGTCTGGTTCCCGTAAGATCTACCGCGCGCATAAATCACACGTTTCAGCACATCACAGACTCAAGCGGATGTCACAAAATTTAGACTTCTCCCGCATGCATCCAGTATTTTAACTCAATGTTGGTTATAAGCACTCCTATACATGGCAAAGTTGTAAACACCCTCAAAACTACCTGCGTCCACTTTTTTCTTCGTGCCACAATGTCTTCCGTTAGCCAAGCCAAGTACTCGGACAGAAGTTCAGTTCGTATCACCTTAGACCATGATTTCAGCAACATCTTAGCAGCGCTATCTTTATTACCTTCACAGATTAGCAAATTCAAACGAAGTGCTGAAAATGGGGGAAAAAATCAATGACTGTACTGAAGAAGATTAAAAGCTTGCTCCTTTCCGCGACTAAAAAATGCCAAAATCGCTGGAGTAGTACAAACCAGGCTGGGACGCACCAGGCGAGCCGGTGCGATCATGCGTTTTTGCATCACACTTTGAAGTACCCCGTCAAATTTCCCTGCCCTTGCCCCCCTCCTCCACCCGCCGTTCCAGCCCCTCC